GGTCTACGAAACCATAGCGAGATAACTCCCACGAGGAGACCATTCGCTCTGTCTCATAACCCGTTGCGAGGCAACTCCCACGAGGAGCCAACTCCCTCGGGTCTCAACGCCATAGCGAGTTAACTCCCACGAGGAGCAAACTCGCTCGGCCCTACACACTCGTTGCGAGACAACTCCCATGAGGAGACAACTCGCACGAAATTCACCATATAATCGCAAGCTCAAGTTAGCACGATTACAACCCTAGAAGCACTTAGAGATATTATGAGAATCTATATAGCCTGGCCAGCTTGATTACTCAAATTTATCTACTTGTTTTCGATGGGTCATTCATTAAAACGTGGCCACGGTCCAAACATACTTAAGACCCACGAGGTCTAACAAGGGGCACGACCCCCATATAAAAAAAAAATCTTGAGAGCCTGATCCCCTCCTCAAGTACATCACGCAGAAGGCTATATGTAAACACATACAAGCAACGCGTCAAAACATTGACAATGTCGATAAAAAACAACTCCCACGAGGAGAATACTAGCTCCGTGCTACTTCATTATCGCGAGACAACTCCCACGAGGAGATAACTCGATCAATTCTATTACCCCAGAGACAACTCCCACGAGGAGATTAATTGATCCGTGCTACTACATTATCGTGAGACAACTCCCACGAGGAGATAACTCGATCAACACTATTACCCCGCGACAAGACAACTCCCACGAGGAGATAGTTCGCTACTACATCGTCGCGGGACAAAACCGACGACTCAATTAACTTATATCGCGGCAACTTTGTCGCGCTATGCGCCAACGCGCATTCACACCCCTCCGACACACGCTCCAACGCGTTCTCACATACCATTAGTCCATACGCCAACGATCGACTTCTACAATTTTTACTCTCGACACGATTTGAGACCCATCACAACATGGCCCCCACATCGACTCGAGAGTGGGGGGCTTAATGATATGCCTAATTGGGCCAACCCAATGGGCCTACAATTTCTTTACCGACTGGGCTACGAGCCCAATATCGAAGACCAATATCACCGAGACCCAAACACCTTCAAGTAAGGCTTGGGCCCAACAAAGCAAACCCAACCCAATAAACGACATATAAATAGAGGTTTTACTCATTTTATTACGGTACGTCCTATTAACTGAGCAATACTACAATACGTATTCTCTGGACTAATTCTATGATCAGCACGTCTGACTTGAGCGTCGGAGGGGTTTCCGCCGGATCAACCCCCGGCGTAGTTCACGTGTGTTCATCTCGCAGGTACCTCAGGATCATCAAGTTGTCAAGCTACTGATCCGCTTTGCTCTCCCAATACATTTTCTACACTACCTGTTGGTCGAAAACCTACACGCAAGTGCACGTATCGTACAAGTAATATAGTGGACTAAAAGTCCGGATATCGAACCCACAGGGAATATTTAATTATCTAATCCTAGACGCTAAATTCTACCAATTATTATCAAGCCCACCCTACACAGTCGAAAAAGGATTAATAAACTAAATTAAACTAAAGCAATTAAAAAGACAAAAACAAGAAAGCAATTAAAACGAAGATTTAATCAAAGTAAACAAGCCTAGGATTTTATTCTTCCCCCTATGTGATTATTACTCCCCCAATTCCTTCAATTATGCAAGCAATTAACCCGGATTATTAACCTGAGATGCTAAAATAATCATAACCCGCTTCCGCGTGTATTACGATTCTAATACTCTAGATTCAATTACTATATTCCTATGCAATTAATTCTAGAACACAGCATTAAGCACAAATCTCAATAATGGCTACCTAAGAGATTAACTATATTCCTATGTTAATACCACAAAGGCTCTTCTACCACAGTTCTAATTATTAACCCGATCTTCCGATTCATGCGATTAACAATAACATAAAAGCACATAAGTTGATCAAGTTCATGCACTTAATAAAACAAGTAGAAGAAATAATCCGGAATTAAAACTTGCATAAAATCATAGAAAAGGGTTCATAAATCCCACATAGGGTTCCAAATAAAATCCTAGAAACAAGTAATTTAGCTACTCATGATTAAAGCAAAAACACAAATAAAATAAATCATAGACGATAAATCTATGCTTGAAGTCTTCGAATTCTTCGTCTTCGTTATTGCTTTGTTGCTCTCCAAATTGCGTAAAAAAGATCCCCAATTGTGTGCTTGGATTGGTCTTATATAGGGTGAAGAACTTGGGGAAGAAGGCAGTTTCCTTGTGCAATTAAAATCCCTTTACTGCGCAACTTCGGGGTATGGGACGGGGGTCCCATAATTTGCACTATAACTGGGACGGGGGTCCGAGCCTTGTTTCTTCAGAATTTTGATATTTTCACTTTTGACCCATATTTTCGCCAAAATTGCAGTTTTGACCCCATACTTTTCCAATTTTTCAATTTGTACCTAAAATACAATAAATTAACTTTTTAAGCACCAATTATCGTTAAAACACACCAAAAGCTCAAATAAAAAGATACGATAAAGTGTAAAAATATACACTTAACACTACCCCAGGTGATCTACAGTTTAGCATCATCAAGTTGAAACATTTTCAACAAGTGTTCAAACTAGTTCAAAATTTATATATGAATTTCTACCTACTCATTTTAAGGATCCGCCAAATTTATTTGATCTTTAATGACTTTAGTTATGTGTCGGATCGACCCTTTGATTTAGGTCACTTTTTGTAATTACCAAAATCCTCGTGAAGTTTGTTTTCGTCATACACCAACCCCGTTACAGTGTGACTTTTCACGGATGTTTTTTTATTCCAGGGAAAATACTTTACAATTTCAAATATTTTCTTTTAGTTCTCACCTATTTAACAGAATGTATAATAGATTGTACACATTTTCTGTTAAAAAACTCGATCAACAGTTAATCATAAAGGGATTTTGGTTATTACAGATAGGTGGGGGTGTTTTTTGTTATTTAGCTTAAGTTCAGGGGTTTTTTCATAATTTATCCTAAATATTAAGGCAATTATATTTATTGTTTTATATAATAAGAGCTAATATTTGTTGTATAGTTCTAAGTTTTAAACATTTTAATTTCCTTAAGTCCACCATCATTTGATATTTCTTTTGTTCCCATTAATGATCATCTATGTAACACGGAAACGGAAACGAGAACACGGGGAAACGGACATGGGAACCTTATTTTACAAAAGGTTGGATATCTGCCGGACGTGGGGGAACGTCTAAATTTTAAAAATATAGAGGTACATTCGTAATTTCTAAAAAAATATTATAATGTTTTAAATGATATGATGGGAACCTTATTTTACACAACTAAAAGGTAAAATGATCATATTCGTGCACTTAATAAATCAATTAGAAGAAATAATCAGGAAATAAACACTTGCATAATATTAGAAATAACAAGTTCAAAATCCCCTCATAAGGTTCCAATAAAATCCTAGAATAAAAACTTAGCTACTCATGTTCTCTATAAAAAACGAATACAAATTGAAAAGATACATAGGTCCGAGAAAGAGAGAGATGATAAACTCTGTAGAAGATTTGTTAATTCTACGAACGTCTTCTCTTTTTCTCAATTGTCGCAAAATGGAGTTTTAAGGGATGGGAATTCACTCGCAATCATATATGACCGCTCTCGACCGGTGCATCTCTCTCGTGAACATGCTCCTCATCACCATAGACAGGTGGTGGTACTTCGGGGGGTGGCACGGACACCGGCTCCACACAATCCGATAAATCGAACTGCAACTTTGTTCCAACAGACTTGACCATATTGCCAATCCAGCTCATAGTAGCCTTCATCTCCTGCCGGAAATCCTCGTGATCCTTTCGAAGCCCGCCGACTTCCTGCTGAATCTGTCGGATTGTTTGTGAAAGCTCGGCTTTTGTCATAGGCTCCTCGCGTGGTGGCAGTGGCTCGGGATTAGCTCGACCCGCAACTTGTGCATAAGTACTGATAGTGGCGTCCGTAATGACACGTTGCGGCGGTTTAATATCGTCTTTCGGATTACCCTCGACGCCGGCGTTCTGGCAAAGCCCGGTGATAAGTGATGGGAAATATAAGCTGGTCCCTTGGTCTTTAATGCAATGAAGGATTTGCTCTTCAATAATCCCACCAATGTCAAGAGGCGTGCCTGTCATAATATGGTAGGCGAGTGCACAACGATCGAAACGCGCAATGCTCGTAGCGGTAGTCGGTATAATGCGAGCACTTATAAAATAAATCCATGCCTTTCCCTCATGGTTGACACTACTAAGCTTGAGGTAATTAGATTCCCAATCCATTACATGGGGAAGGGGGATTCGAACCCTAGACCTTTACCCTAATGGTAAGGCTAGGTACCAATTCTCGTAACGAGGGTTGTAAATATTTTGCTTTTAACTTGAGCATAAATGTATGTTGATTATGCTATGAAAAATAAGTGGAACTGTGGTCAACCGGAATTGTATTTGAAATAATTTCAAGAATTTCAAAAAAAAATTCCTACCAGAATTGAATAAAATAATATTAAATGTTGCATCATTAAATTGAAATTATTTGTTTTACCACAAATTGAGAATCCACATCCTATACGCACATTTTAAAGCACAATTAGCAAATAAAAGAACACACTAAACAACTTTTTCTAAGTAACCTTAAATTGAGAATGAAGATGAAGTGATTCTCAAGTAATATATTTATCCCGGCCAATACTAGCTCACTTTGTTTTCTGTCCATCTACCATTGTTTCAGTACATAATCTATTCCAAACTGCAATAATACTCGTGAGAAAATCGAACTTATGGATGGAACTAGTACGGATATTGCTAAGAATCGAGTTAATTATGGGTTTGTTCTACGTACAAGCAGCGGCGAATCTACTTAAGAACATGAATCTGTCAATTAGCAACACATTCTTGGAGCCTTGTTTCCACGTCTTGTACAGCAGATCCCTGCGGCAAACCATCGATAGTATTAAAGAAACTAGATTTTGTTTCCTTGGATTAAAACAAAGCAAAGATCAAAGAGGTCTATTTTGGCAGAAGAAGTCAAGGCTAGAGTTAAAAAACTTGCCAGTTCTAGTTCGGGCCAGAAAATATCTCCAAATGATCCACAGCTTTTTCAATTGCATGAAGAGCCATTTTCTTCACCTTTAGACAAATTTCAAGATTTCAAAATTTTCATCATAGTAGGATATGGATGCATGCATTCCAATTAGAAAGAAAGAAAGATAAATAAGACACTTGATATCTGAGAATGAAAACTCATTTAAAAGCTCAAAGGTCAAAATTATACCTCTAACTTGTCTTCCTTAGCCCTATGATTTTGTGGAAGAACACGGAATTCCTGTGTCAATCGAAGACACTCTTGGACATTTTCTGGTGAGACGAAGTCAAGAGCCACCTTTATGCAAGGCTGGTATGGAATAAACATAAACAAATTGCTTTTTGGCCAAAATTGAAAGAAGATAAGATGCAAATGACTTGGTGTTATTTCATAAACCAATGTACCTTTAAATTTCTAACTTGATGGGGACAGCCAGCAGGTATAAAAACAGCATCACCTAATTTCTGGACAAATGTCCATGGTTCGATTCCTATTCAAGCACAAAAGATAAGCAGGCTGAACATTATTTTCGACCATTACACAAAGTAAATAAGAGGGAAAGACTAACCATACTCCTCCTTAAGTTTCCTCTTATGCTCCATAGACAAGTAAACCGTTTGATCATGAATAGGGTGGACAACCTGAGGAAAAAAGTTGGTAATTAAAGGCAACGTATGCTAGAAGACTCTTGCTAATACAGGTAATAAACTATCATGTATGTAAGACGCGTCTTTCTCTAAGCTGATTCTGACTTTTTAGGTTATTAAGACTCGTGAAGTTATTATTCTTACAATTTAATCTTATAAACATCAAACCAAACAGACATAATACATTGTTTTACCTTAACCTCAAAACATATTACTTTGACGAAATTAATCCGTACCTGCGACAATTGATTACAATAGATATGCCTAAATTCTTTCAAGTGCTTCCTCACATATTCCTCCAGTTTTGGTACGTCTTGCCTCCTAAAAATATCCCATAGAGCACCACCTTCAGGGTCTCTAACACTTGCCGCCTCATCTGAGGTATCAGCTTTATTCTTCCCACTGCTATTACCGCCCTTTTTTTTCGACATCGAAGTTTTCACGGATGATTTTCCAACAGATTCTCCAAGATTTCCTGTTTTTTCACTGTTTTCATCCATTATATTCAATATCTGTTTACTGCCACGCATTTCCGTTTCATCCTGTTCAGCATGCTTCATTTGCAGGATTTTAATGGTACGAAGCAGCTTAGGTCTAAGTGTCACCCCATGTTCATGTGTCAACACATTCACCTAAACGACGGACATTATAACAAAACAAATCAGCATAATATACTAGCAAATGACAACCAACAACCTAGCCTATAAAGCAAAAAGAACTTCATGTAGTCCAACTATCTCCTAACAAATATTAAAAAGTAGCAAAATATCGAAGATTCACATAAGAGGACGTACTGCATCAGACATATCACAGTGTAATTTTGTTACAGAATCACCCCGCCCCAATTCCTGAGCAACTCCATAAGCAATATATGTCTTTGGCCCCATATCTGGCTTCAGAGAAATCTTTGGCAGTTTAGTAGCAAGATTTAAGTAGCCATCGTGAGGATGTGTGTACTCTTTAAAGGGCAAGCATCTGATAAACTCAACACCATGACGAGGTAAGCTCTCCTCGAACAAGTTAGAAGGAGGCCAGTCTTTCAACTTGAGAATCTCAGGCCAAGAATAACTGTCAAACCGACCCTCTAAATACCCTTTGAAAAACTGGTTGATTTTTATGACAACCTGGTTGTGATTGAAAACTGATGAGTTTTCCATCATTGACAACTCAAACATCACCGTAAAGCATGCAAATCTACAAGATGGTGAACGAGAAAAACAAGATAGATAACATCCAATAAACAGTTACACAATAAAACGATTTTCACTTCCTAATACAGATTTGAGATGAATAAACTAAGTTACAAGAAGCACTAAGTCAAATATTTCATGCGCACATTCTAGGGAATAATTGTACTCAACAGAATGGACCACACCAAAATCAATCGCCATAGCCAAATGATTTTTATGACAACAGTCGAGCGATAAATTTATCAGACTCCATAGATGTTGTATTCAATTTGAATTAGATTTCACATCAACCTATGTAGACTGCACCATTACATTTTTACTATCAAATATTATTATAATTTTGAAGGATATAATTAATCTGAAATGAAGTTTTATATAAAACTGTAACTTATCAAACCAAAACCACATCAAAATCCAGTACTTTAGAATCTAAAGAGTCCGATGTCGAAATACAAGATAAAACACCATAAAGAAGATCACTAAACATCTTCAACAAAGAAGTGTAACACACAGGAGTCTAGGACACTTCAAAATTAGGACTCCTAATATACCTAATAGCATGTTAGATGTCAAAGAAAAGACTGAGAAGAAGAGAAGCCAAAGAAGAAAGAAAAACATCGAGCAAAAACTAGGAAAATTCCAAATAGAAGAAAAATAAATATTACAAACTGGAACTTGTGAAATAAAAATCACGCAAGTATGGCTAGATCTGCACGGCACTCACATACAAGAACAAGATTTAGTATGAAACTCTTGATTACCTAACTCACATACAAGAACAATTTGAAAAAAAAAAAACTGGTGTTTAGTGATCTAATAGCATCACCAGAAAAATTACGATCATCGTATAAACCACCAGATACAACAAACACATTTGAAATTTATTGTAAGAGGACACAACTACTCCTAACATGTAGTCCAAATACGAATCAAACAAACAAGTATGGTCTAAAATAGGCAGTGCATGACTGGAAATATAGATAACAGATCATACAAATATATTTAACTTTCACTAAAAAGATGACGTACAATTGATATATTATTTAGTTATTCCAATGATGTATATTATTTCAAAAATGCATGTCAATTTGTAGTAGTTGAATTATCATGCATCATATCAACGTAAGAGACTTCTGAGTTTTGCTGTTAGATGAAACAGAACGAAGAAGTAGAATCAAGTGCCTGACCTCACACAAGTCCAAGCAGTTTATTGCAGTCACATCAACTAGAACTTCATTTTCTTTCTTTCTATTCTGACGAAAAGCACGCGCCATAACCATGGGTGCCCAGCTCAAGCCTAATGTAGTTTCTAGCACGCCATTAACAATCACAGGCTCACCTTTGAGCCAGTGCAATTGAAAGTGTTTCATATCATCATGCTGCAGGTCTTTAGCTGTTGGACAGTACAAAAAATTGTCCCTCGAATCTTGCCTAGAAGCTGCTCTGCACAATTTATCACTAGCCATTACATTCTCACCAAAGAAGTTCAAACACGGGCATTCCTCGCAAGTTTTAGGCAAGTCCTCAAAATCTTGTCCCTTCACCAGTTCTCCTGCTCTGGACAGCAACTTCAAGACCCAATTCTCTGGAAAAATACACTTCAATTCCAGAATTCCTTCACCACAACCCCCAAACCATTGTGGTGGACATGGAATGATACCAACCTCTACAGATCTCCATGCAGATTTCATCTCAGCTTTAACTTCAGAAGAAGGTTCATTGTTATTAATAGGAGAAGCGTTCTTACTATGATGCGCAGTGTGACAATTGTCATTGTGGAAGTAACTTGAATCACGAAATGCATAATGCATGACCACTTCTTCATCCCCACCCTGCAAATGTCCCTCTCGAATCTCTCGACAACATGTGATGCACAGATCATAGGAACACCTTGGGCAGCTTCGATGAAAATCAACAATAGATGTTTTACAGTTGTTACTGCACAAATTCATAGAATAATGACTCTTTTGAAACCTGAGCGAATTCGTTATTGGAAAATAAGAGTCATGATGAGATCTACCAGTATATTCGGTCAACTGCCACGCAGTTTAATTGTTGTGGCTTTACTTCTGAAATTGGTAATCCTGCCCATGCAAAGTGCCCATGCAAAGCAGTTACTAGTCAATTAATTTGAAAACTATGTACCCAATAACTTCTTTTAACATCATCACAGTACTTAGCATGCAAATATTCACAAGAAATAACTGTTTTCGGCTGCTATCATGAATTCCGCAAAAACATCTCTTAAAAAATTCCTACTATCTAAATCCAGTGTTTCCCATTTAACTGGATGTAGGACATACATCTAATCCACTTACTTTTTTTACACTTTCAGTCCACCATTAGATTTTGGCGTTAATTAGGATGGAAAAGGCACATGGAGGTACGTGACCATGCTATTTCAGCCCCTTTTTTAAATATATTTATGATTCAGTCCCAATTTATAGATCTATTTTTGATTCAGCCCCAATTTTAATTTATTTCAACAATTAGAGGTCTAATTGTCAAAAAGTATATATGTTAAAAATATTAGTACTTGCCCCTATATTTTTTAGTCAAAGCCAACAAGATCCTTATGAGCAGATCGCGTGGTTCACTCACGGCTTGTGCGAGTATTTCTTTGATTTTGCTGATATAAATACCCTCCTATAAATGAAGATAAACTCAATTTGATTTGATTACAAATAATCTAAAGGCTTAGGGACCAAATTCTAATTTCAAAAATTCCTAAAGAAACCCTAATTTTTATCAAATCCTCAATTGTCCCCCTCTTTCTTCACTAACTTCGTCCTCGTGCTCAAATAATCGTTGTCGTCGGCGGCAATACAACAACACCACTACCCCACAGCCGCAACACAACCACCACCATAGCCGCAACACCAACACCACCACAACCTCAGAACGTCGAAAAACATTAGAGCACGAACCCCCTCTTGTTGGTAATGGTGTTGGTGTTTAAAAATTGAAGATGGTTGATGGATTGGATGTGGTGGTGGATTGTCTTGATTGTTGTTGATTAATTGATTAGAAGCAACTTAGTCTCTTTTGTCTGGTAAAAACTAAAATTTCCTTTTCTACTTCTCTATTTTTCTCTCAGAATGTTTTGTTATTCTTCTTCTCTCACAAGAATCTTATGTTTTCTCACTTTATATAGTCCTAATGTATGTGGAAGATAAAGTGTGTACATAAGGAATCTCAAGTAGATATACACTAAACATTACATAAGTAATTCGTCATTTACGATTTTGGAAAGCTTATGCAAACACACGAAACCTCTGATTTGTCAATTAATTACATGATAAGTTAGCTTAGATAGAGGTCTACACTAAATGAGTCCAATACTAACTCGACAGCAAAAGAAATCCGAATCACATACATAGTCCTCCAAGTTATCCGAATCCGGAAAAGAAAATACCTTTTATCTTAGCCTCCATTTCCTTCTCGACCATTTGTTCTTCATGGAACTGTTTTAAGAAGGGCAGAAGCCTTTGCAGCATGTATCTAGAGTACTCCATCTTTTCTTCATGGCCATATTTCAATGTTAATAATTTTAAATCCTGCATGCAATACAAAAACATTGAATCTGAATAGAAAAATCATTTAACCTAAAGATGAGAGCAAGAAAGAGAGAGAATATGGAAAACAATATGAAATGACAAAACGCACTCGCGGAATATATATATGAAAGTGCAGGATGGATAAAAACCAACCCTAATTCGACCATCCATTTGCAAGCAACTCTTGCAATTGCAATTGCTACAACAAACAGGGCAAGCTTCAGTAAAAGCCTCTTCCGGCATCTGAGGATACCTGGGAACAGGACTTTACTTTTTCAGACACTAACGGAATCAAAGATACAATAATAAATCTAAAAAGGAAAACATTGTTATGAGATAGTTTTCAATCAACATCCATAGCCAACAACTCACTGTTAATAGAAAAGATGTTATATAACTCATGCAGAAAAGAAGAACATAGACAGGTAAACTCGAAATCTGGTTCAACAATGTTTCGGAACTCATGTTCAGACACTTTAGCCACTCAAGCCCCAATCAAAAGAACCATTGATCAAATAATACAAGTAAAAATGAACTCCAAAAGCAAAAAGAGTCTCATACCATTTAGTCATGCAAGGGACACAATATCGCTTAGTGAGACACTTGGTGCAGCGTACTACTCTTCCTTTATCATTCCTCTTGCACTGGTGACACGTGTTACGCTCGTCCTCCTTCGCCTGTAAAATCAATCGACAACCCAAGCGCCAACCATCCCCAATAAAACGGATTAGCAAGATGACTCAAAAAATGGTAAATAAAATGATTATACAAAAATAAGACAAACAACTCCCAACTCCAATTATTCCTAACCTCAATCATTGCCGCACTATCCATATTACTTGTACGGGAATATCCTCCTCCTCCAATTTTCTCAATTCCCCCTTCACTCTTGTCCCTTTCAACTTCCTCAGTTGCCCCCCCATCTTGCAGTGGTTTTCTCCTCCTTTTTGGTTTGCCCAATTTCACAGTTTTCTCTTCCTCCACACTCTCATCATTTTGTACCCCCTTCCTCTTTCTCCTACTCAGATCCTTGATCGGCGGCATCGTGTAGCTTCAAATTGTGTGAAAAATAAGAGCGCAAGCGAAAATGTGAAATGGGGTCGGTGTAGCTTCAAATTCCCTAGGTCGGTCTTGTGTTGTCGAATTAATGATTTTTTCTACTTCTTTCTTACCCCCGAAACGAAACCCTCTTCAGCGGTAACCTAATCACGCAATTCTTCTATTTTTCTCAGTTTTTCCTTACCCCGTTAAGAAAATCCCTCTTCAGCGGTAAACTAATGACGCATTTTTTCCATTTTTCTCCTTACCCCGTTAACACAATTCTATTCCGCGGTAAACTAGTTACGCGTTTTGAAGTTTTTCCTTCCTTTTCTTTTTCCTTTTTTTTTTTTTTTTTCTTTTATTTTCCATTGAAAAGTCCATTTGCCCTTTTCCCTAGCCGTTGTCATTTGCCCCAATTCCAGAAATTCCAAGAACGATTTTGCCCGTTTACTCTCGCCGCCGGATCTCTCTCTCTTCCACCTCTGCTCTTTTTCTCCCGGCGATCAGTACTCTCCCATCTGAACAGGTTAGCTAACCTTTCTAAAACCCTAAATTCTACAATTTAGGGTTTATGTTTTTTAATTGATTTTTTTTGTCTCATGTAACGAACAAACTTCGTCAAGTCAAAAGTTGCTACATTCTTCTATTTTATTTGGTTTGTGCTCAACAAATGCATTGCTGTTCATTAGGCCTATTTGTCAATAGCTTCAACTTGCAACTACTAATTAAATTAATCTAATCGTATAATTTGACAGAATGGAAGAAAAAAATGCTGTCATCTCTTACAAATACAATTGGGGTCAGAACCAATTAGGTCATCTTACCAAAACAAATACACCTTTTTCCACACACCAGTTAAGTCATGGTCTTCAATGCTACAATCGAGCTATCGAGTTATCTCATCAGAACTACATTAAATACATGTTTTATGATGAAAAGCAAAAAACTATGTTTCATCAAGTGTATGATGATACACTCGATAGCTACATTAACAAGTTGAAGCTACGAAAAAAAAAACCCGAAATGCCCGTGCTATTTTATGATAAAAACACTCTCCAACACGGACATTATTATGTGAACCCGTTGTATAGGTTGATAGTGAAAGCGATGCTTCAATTTATAGTGGACCAACATGTTGCTATGTTTTCGTTGACAAAGTTTGAAACGAAAAATATAGTATTCGTACGGGGTGTCGTCAAATTTTTTGATGTTGGATTCCGTCCTAGCTCAAACGTCACACCACACGGAAAGATTTGCTTACAAATTTAAAACGCGGTTTACAAATAACAGACGCCATAATATATATACTTTAATAATATATTATTTTCAAACTGAAAAAGAAAACGATGGATTTGAAAATTTGGGGCAAGTGAAAAGGGGAAAGTAGAACCAGGGATATAACCCCAATATCCAAGTACAAATCAATTATTATTATTATTATTATTATTATTATTATTATTATTATTATTATTATTATTTTTATTCTTTTTGTTGTTGTTGTTGTTGTTGTTGTTGTTGTTGTTGTTGTTGTTGTTGTTGTTGTTATTGTTATTATTATTATTAAAAATACTTTCGAAAAAAGTTGAAAATCGATTACAAAAAGGGTTATATATTACATTTTATATTTTCAAAAATCTTCAAAAAGAAATGTTCCATTTTTTTAAACTGTTATTTACTTACTCTAGCCATATAAAATATAGAAAACATTAAATATTCTATTTTTCATACCACTCAAATACTTAATGAAATTGTTTATAGCTACTAATATTAATTAATCTTTATAATGCATCATATAAATATGGTCAATATAATCTCTGGAAATTTGCAAAATTAAAAAAAAAAATAGAATTGGAATTTCTAATTACTTCGCATATACTCAGCACGTACACGGAAACAACGATACGGAGAAACGGGGAAACAAAATGTTTTCAGTGATACATAAATTTATGAATCCTACATGCTTCTGAATAGTTAAACAAGGATAGTCGAATAGTCGAATAGTTAAACAAGGATAGTCGATAAATGAATCCGACATGTTCTGAATACAAGAAAGACTATTAGACAGTACTAGTTTTTTTTCAACAATACATAAATTTTAATAAGCTCTCAAACATTCCTTGCTGGTTTGGTGTAGTCTTTGTCTCCACCATACTTTAAGAATGTGTCCACGAGGTCCCCACGTAGCTTTGGTATTTCTTTCTTCATGTCCTTTGGGGTGTCGAGTGGATGTTGTAAGAAAAGTTGCTTGATCAGGTACAAGACAAAGAAGCCACAATCTCTTCCATTATTTTGCTGCGGGGAGGATATCACGTCAACAATAGGCATGTTGAAGTTGACGTCTATGTTGTACTTTGCAGCTGACAGCTTCATTGCTTCCTTCTGTGTTATAAGCAACATGAAATTTAGAGTTAGTTGTACAATATCAATCAATTTTTTTTGCTTTTTTAAGTACTATGTTTTGCTAACCATGTCTAATGCGTCGATAAAATATTTGTCGGAAGTGGAATCCATCTCATCACTCTTCCTTCTCGGACGCAATGAGTTATAGTAACTCCATGTTTCTTGTAGTCTGTCGAAAACAAGCAGAGTGAAGTGGTTGGCCACCTTGTTTGGATTTGTACCTGAATGCAACGGGAATATAATGTATCTGTGATCGTCCAAATTCTGAGGTAGCTCGAACGTTCTGTCCGGTCTGTTTGGGTGCCTAATATCATTATGTGAAACAATATATATATAGATTAGTGTTTTGCGCCCAAACATAATGTGATTTTTTTTTGATTAGTTTGCGATTCAAGTATCTTACCAGAAGCAAACAAGGGAAAACATAGCTTTCCCCACTCAAGTCAGGATGGGCTCCATGTTTGAATTTGCCGTTTGCTTGCTCAATCATCAAAATCTCACAGAAGGAGTCTAATGGCTTTTTTTCATGAAAAGATAACAGAGCATTAAATATTATATTGCATTTATTAGAATAATTCTTTTTAAATTTACTTACTGCGCTGTAGATCATTTCATTCCTTATGATGGTGAACAAGTCTTCAATCTGCACAAATTTTTTGCCATCTGCACTTCTCCAATGCAGCCGTCTGTGCAAAAAACAAGTAGATATTTAATCGACTATGGCTTATAAGTGATAGTTGATTAATATTCATATAACACAGTTGATTAATACAAAGAGTTACTTACCCCATTTTATCTCCAGATGTGGTTGCTATGAAATTGAGCAGTTGCTGGCCAGTCTTTGTCATCTGCTTGTAGGTTGTGTAATTCTTGTATGTTTTTGCAACTTTCGAAACTGTTCTAGTTGAGACGGTGGATTTTTTTGATCGTGTGCGCCCAGCGACAACGGATTTGGGTTCAATTTCTTCCATAAACACGTTCACGGCGTCATCAAACTGATCGTCATCTTCTTCAGCAGGGTTTTGCTGTGGTGGTCAAGATTGTAAGGCAGTTGTGAGTTCGTTTATTATTTGTTCTTGGTCTTGAACTTTGCTCCGGAGTTTAGCCTCGTTCTGCTTGTACAATTCAACTGCCGTCATTAGATCAATCATCCCGAGGTCCTTTTCATCCATGGCAGGTAGTGGCAACTGTGAGAATTCTTCTCCATGGGTTGATTCCGGTCCCTTCTGAGTGGGAGAAAGGAGCGTGAACGATGGAAAATCATCCATTTGGGGGCTGCCAATTGGTGTATGGATGGTGTCGGTTCGGCTCTGTTTTTCTTTCTCTTCCATTTGAGCACGGAGATCGTTGTTAGACTGTTGTAACTCTTGATGCTGCTCTGTGAGGGTCTTCAGATTGGCCTTGAGTTCATCCACTTGTTCGTTCAACACCGCATTTGTTGCACCAAGAAGATCGTTGTCAGTTTTCAATCGGTAGTTTTCTGCCAATATATAAATCAATGGTCTTGACGATCTCATCCGTGAGTTGGTCTTGCGTTTGTTGCAGTGTTGGTGCCGATGATGTTGGACTCAGTTTTTCCACCTCTGCTTTTCTTGCTAGCTGCTCCCTGAGTATGTTGTTCTTTGCTTCCAAGTCTTCCGTCATTTTCTGGAATTGTAGCGCGGTCACAGTCATTGCAGCAAGGTCCGCTGACAGCTTGACGTGTTGTGCCTCCTTCTCCTTCAACTTTTTCATGAAGTTATCTGGAATCCTGTTTATCAATGCAGCAAGTGGTGTGTCTTCATCGGACATTTGATCTGATTCTGCATCCCTCTTGCGTTTGCCAATACGACTGTCAGCATTGCCCTCCTTGTCCTCTGTGTTTTCTTCCAAATCATAATCGACGTGCTCTTGATCCTGCATAGTATAGATTTGTGACTCTCTTTCCCTTATGACGAGCTCATGTTCGTCAATGTCGGCGTCAAGTATGTCCCTGATAGCTAAGTTCTCAAGTTTATTGCCGAGGGTTGGGAGATGCCATTTTCGGAACCTTGGGAATGCATTTGATTGTAAAGGCTCAATCAGTTTAATCCTCTCACAGATCCAGAACTACAAAAAGAAAGATTATATTAGTAAATATCTTAATCAGCTATTTTATAAACATTTTACATAGTCGATTAATGCATGTGTGTATTTTTTTCGTACCTGTAACAGTGTGGTGCATCCCTTAGCTTGCGTTACTTTTTCTTTATTTTGGACATAGTCAATAAGGAAATCGACTACGCACTTCCCCCAATTGTAAACCGCCATGGCATCAATGTCTTCGCATAAATGGAAGATCCACCAATTAACGAGCTCGCCAGCTGTCGCAAATAAGCATGTTGCCAGGACGTGCAGGATGACCATGCGTACAACATCTTCAATGTCTTCCTGTTCGGTGCTCCGAAGATACTTGAGGAGTTCAATCTTCACGTTGTACAATTTTAGCTTGTCGTGATCATGGAATTTACGCACAGCAAGCCCAAAATCTGGTTTTGCGGCTCGTCTGGTAATGATGTTTGTTGCGCCGGATTTGATTCCAAATATTAAATCGCATTCATTTGGTGTAATAATCAACTCTTTAC